CAAAAAATACCACAGACAAATAATTTAATTGGAAGAAAGTAAGGTTGGATCGGTCTAAAATTTGTTAGATATTAAAAACAGAGATGTCGCCACGAGTGTTTATTCTGTCATCAGATGATAGAATATTTCATTCTGTAACACTTTACGGAATATATGTCATTCCATAGATAAAAGTGATATTAGAAGGGTCATATTCCATAATAGGAGTAGAAAAAATAATTTTTATTCTTAAATAAATAACACTGTGCTACATAATAGTATTAAGTTTTATAAAAGCCTTTTTAGTTACGAGTTTTATTACGCACGAGCAAAGCTTGCGAGCGAGTGTTTAATAAAAACGAGTGTATGTAAGTTTATAAAACGAGTTGCATACTATACTTTATCTTCGACGAACACAAAGAAGAATTTAAAGCCACTTTTTTTTCTTAAACATTTGACATCTGCCAACTGTCAACAGATTTAACCTCACTTTGCACAATGAGGGAGTAGATAATTGTATATTATACCTATATCAAGTATCATAAACGCCATTTTAGTTAGGAGTTTTATTAGGCACAATTTTGACCGGAATTTTTTCACATTAGCTCTAGTTTTGATATTTTTTATTTTTTTAAATATAAAACGCTGTTATTTTGAAAAAAATACCGTGGAAATGTATTTTTTATACGCCCAAAACCTATGGAAATTTTTCGAGAAAGCGTTAATTTTTACCAACTTTACAACTTGGCGCGAGGAATTCTGCTAAAGCCCGCCTGAGATACTTATAAAAACCCTATAAAACTTAATAATACGTTTTGTTGAATAAAATTGATATTCCCCATGGTCTAGTTGCTACTTGGCTTGCTTTACTTAATTATTTAGCTTGTGCCTATGTGCAGAAAACTGATCCACTTAATATACAATGTCTGACATTGAATGTCAACGCCAACGTCAAGGTAAATTATTTAAAATCATACAATTTTTAATAAAACCTTACGGGTTGCACAAATGGTTATTTTCATCACATTCATGAGTAGTGAGCTATATACCTACTGCATATTAAATATTATTTTCAATAGTTTTTTGAGTGAATTACTGATATGCGCATTAACTGTTTCTGTTTTATTTTCTCCGTGCAATCGGCCCCATATTCGCTATCCCAGAAAAGGCCAGACAATTCTTCATCTTTAAGAATTTAATTTAATATGAATCATAAGATCGTTGGGAGGCTGAAAATCTTCTCTAAGGAAAAAATTTCGGGTCCAAAAGCAACAAAAAGATTTTTTGGGTAGGTCAAGGGGTCACCCACACCTGGGAATCCCTGGACATTTTAGAGGGATACAATGGAAATACATAGGAATACAATAAAATATAATGGGAATACATGGGAATCCCTGGACTTGTTCCCCTGACCCCTCGGGGTAGGTACGTTAGCGCCCCCTACTTTTTAAAATTTTCATCCTAAAGCATCGACCTAATGATACCAATTGTAGGATACAAAATCCCCTAAAAGTTTTATTAACATTTTTTATTCGAAAAAAAAAATCAAAGAAATGGGTTTTGAACTCAATTCGCAGGGGGGATCCCGCAATGCCCCAAACGATTCATGCCTCTTCAGACAAGAACTCTGTATAGTGTTCTTGACTTTAGGTATCAAACAATTTTACCTTTTACTTTTAAAAAATAAAATTTAATTTTAAAAATCTTTAAAACATATCATTTATTTTATTTTTGCGATACTAAAATTACCACATCATATTTTAGTAAATAGTAAAACTGGAAATCAATAAAATCTATAATACCAATTTAATCGTTTGTTTTAAGGTTAATTTAATTACTCTAAATAATGAAAATATTGAAATTTCATGTTTATACACAATGTCATTTCAATTTATGCATTTAAAACAATCAGAAATATTATTTGCAAATTTTATAGTAAATTATGATGGTCGTGTCCTATATTTTGGATTATTATTGCATTGCATTTATATTATTGATATATTGATAAGGTCGACGCTCTAGCGGGGGCCAATAATTGAGCGAAGCACAAATAGCATACAACATTGTATTTTCAAGGCATAGTTGTATAACCACAATTATTAAGTATAATGTGAGGGTATATAGCTTCAGAACTCTCAGCAGTTATACATTTTTTTAATGAGTCCTAATGGGTTTTTACAGACTAGGATGTAAAAAACTTCACCTGATTGGTCTAAATTATTTTTACAGCCAAATTAAATTGTTTTTTCCTGAAAGTATATCTATTTAATAGTAAAACCCCCGCTGTATTTGTAAAAGTTTTTAAAATTTTTTTCTTTGGTTTTTGAGTTTTAGGTTACTAGGTAATTGTAAATTGACACCTCAAATTTCGCTTAAAATTAACTATTTTAGCCAAGTATTTGATGTTTTTCATTCTGATTCTTTGTAAAAAGATTTTTATTTTTAAAATAATTTATTTTATAAACAATTAATGAAATCAAATTTAATTTTAAAGGTCAAGTGTTCATAAAACTGCATTTTTTACTTTTTCTTTGGCCTAACTTACTTCATATTCACTTCATATTAGAAATTTTGGCAGAAATGTGGTTTGAAGTGTAAGCCGGCCATATCTATACTTAGCACAACACAGTGTTGCCAACTAAGTGATTTTTTTTCTAGTTCTAAGGATTTTTTACAACGTTCCTATTTTGTATGTTTTAGTTAAAACTAAGGAATTCTAGGAATTTTTTGAACAAAATGTATCGATTTTTAAAGTGACCATGTTGGCAACACTGTAATAATTTTATTTATAGTAGGTACCAGGTAATAAAAAAACAACAAAGTTGGACTTCAAAAGTTTAATAAATTTACATTTTTCTAAATTACACTGCGCGTCAAAATTAATGCATAAAAAGTAAAAAAATTCTAACTCTGAAACGTCTTTACCAATGAAATTTTTTATAAAAATACTTCAACTTATATCACAGTTTACATGTTCGAGGGTTTTCGAGAAAATATTTTTAAAGCCCTTTGTGGTCATTTTTTAAGACTTTGAAGCGCTGTATTTTCGTTACTGTTCGTTTGATTCGTACAACATTTTTAGGGTATACTAACAAAAATACGATCTTTAACAGCATATTTTTTATTTGCTCAAAAAAAAAATTCCCTAAAAGTTATTTTTCGAACGTTCTTTTATTATTAAATAAAGGGTCTTTAAGGATACTTTTTCGAAAAACCCTTAAACACGTAAACAAAATTTTATGAAGGCGTTTTAGAGTTGGATTTTTTTACTAATTGTGCGTTAATTTTGACGCGCAGTGTATTATTTTAACTCGGAAAATTTTAAAAAATATAATAAAATTTGCTTAGACATAGACTTAGGTAGACTAAAGAAAGAGAAAAAAGGCAATTTTATAAAAACATTAGCCCCAAAAACAAAATTTTATTGCGTTAAATATTCATAAATATAAATTATTGTGATATGAAAAACCTTTTCACAAATGGTCGACAAAGAGTCGTCAATTACTTTGTCAAAAGAAAAAAATTGTAAGCAAAATTTGATAATATTTGCTTTCTTCGCCAAGTTTATAATGTTCTATATTACATAAAAACTGTGTAGCGGGATTAGTACATTTTTGAACGTTAGTTTAAAGTTATATGTGTGGTTTTATATATGCTTTAATCAAAATTTAATAAAAACATTACAACGTTTTTGTTATGTATACCTACGTATATATTGATTTAAAATTTTAAAGTACCTATATTACCCACCAAGGTACAACAAACACACAACAAATTACCGGAAAAGTCATAATAAAACATTATTTTTTCCGGAATAGCCTTTAGCCTCTTCGGCGAATTTTGTTTTTGAATTTAATTAGGTCAAAATGCTTTCGGAGAAGTGGTCATTTCAGTTTGAGAGGAAAAAGTCAAAGACAAAGAAGAAATATCCAAATTAACATAATAATTTATAATATAGAAGAATAGAGAAAAATTTACTATAATGGAAAAATGTTGCTTTTTGGAAAATATCCAAATTAACATACGTACGAAAAATGTTTTCTGTTTTTAAGGTTTTAATCTCTTTAAAACTTGTATTTTTTAATCAGGATTTATTTCACCCAGTTAATTTTTTATGGATAACTGTTAATGAACGACTGGAACAAATAGATTTTAAATTTTAATAATAATACTAGTAATAATAATAATGGTAATCGTATTAAATTAAATTAATAAAAAAATTGAGTCAAGTGGATCCAATAATTGGATTGACCCGATATTATTTTCTGTTTTTGATTCGAAATGGATTCCCAAAACGCGTTATTTTAAATGTAAACAGAATTGAAACAAAGGCGTATTGCAGTTGGTAGGTATTTAAATTAACGTTGTTTAATTTAAAATCGATGTTTAATATACTCTAAATTCATGTAATGAAATTGCTTTGAAAAATAATAACATCATGCGTTTTATCGAAATGTCCCCCAGCTCACAAATTAGTCATACCATACCAAAATATGGAAAACGTTGGTTTATAAAAACGTACAGTTTTTACGCATTCTGGTCGCTTCATTTTAAACAAACAATGCAGGCGCGACACAAAAACCTAAACAAATTTATGAACTAAACCAATTCGATCGGTTAATGAAATTTTATTGATTTTCCCAATGTTTTTATGTACTGTGTAAATAACTGTGTATGTTTAATACATTATAAATAGAAAAAATAAAGAAAATAACAGAAAATCTAATTAAACAATAATTATATTGGATGAACATGATATTTAGAGCTTGTATCCGATAAATAAAAAATCGATTTGTAATAAGTACCTTTAATAGAACCTGGTTGTAATTTATAAATGTAATTAAAATTACATTTTGGACAAGGCACTTTTAGTAGATATTATAATATGTTTGACGATAAATATTTTTCAACACCTTATAGAATTTAAGTAATTCCACATTAATAGGAGTAGAGAATTAATTATACTATAATTATAATCTTGTAAACATTAATTATCATTAAATTTGTTTCCTGTGTTGCAGGAAAGTGATGGTGAAAAAAGCGATCAGGATTTGGTTGTAGATGTCGCTAACGAAGTATGTGAACAAAAATGAATTTCAAATAAACAAATATTAATTTTGTTACTTATTTTAGGAAGCCGTTTCGCCTCACACAAATGGAGATCATCCGGCTTCGATAGGCAATTCTAGTGAAATAAGGGAAAACGGAAGTACAAACGGTGACAAAATAAAAGTTGAACGACCGCCCAGCAGAAGCGGGTCGTCTTCATCAAGAAGCACGCCCTCCCTGAAAAGTAAAGATGTAAGATAATTCACCTTTTCATGTCATTAATAATGATCACAAAATTTATCCGAAAATCATACATTTTATTCGTAACAAATGCACAGTGAAAGATTGAAGCTTAGTTACTAAAAAAATAAGTGCTTTCTAGATGGACATAATTAAACTTACAAAAACAAGCAAAGAAGCAGTAACATTGTGACATTTTCAATCTTACTGTGTAGCAAACCTCCGAAACCTCTAAACCATTTTCTATTTTAGGAAAAACCCCTGACCCCAGGGTCCAAGCCACGCTCAACAACCCCCAACCTGGGCGCTGGTCCGGGCGGGAGCGGTCCCAAAGTGGGTCCGATGGGTCAGTATCCTCCGTACCCGATAGGAGGTGCTCGAGCACCTGAGCACCTTTCACCTTACAACAACGTGGCGGCGTCGCCTTACGGCCGGCCGCCCATGATGGGTTACGACGGCCATCCACACACCCGTGCACCAGGTATCGCCACGAACGGAATGGGCGCCATGGGAGCTGGTGGAAAGCCGTAAGTAATCCACATAATGTTTTTTTTTATCATGTTCTTATATATTTTTCGATTTACTATGATTCGGATTATCTATGGCTTGAACTTTTTTGATTGTCCCATCAAGTTTTTTAAAATTAAACAAAAATTAGTAAAGTAAATATGCTTTATTAATTAAATTAATTGTAATTGTTATTTTTAGTGCCTATTCATTTCACATGAACGGCGAGGGTCAGCTCCAGCCAGTGCCGTTTCCCACTGATGCCCTCATCGGTCCCGGAATACCGCGTCACGCGCGACAAATAAACACGCTGACGCACGGCGAAGTGGTCTGCGCCGTGACCATTTCGAATCCCACTAAATACGTGTACACTGGTGGCAAAGGCTGCGTAAAGGTCTGGGATATCAGCCAACCTGGCAGCAAATCTCCTGTATCTCAACTAGACTGTCTGGTAAGTAAACAGGCATATCGTCCCCATTATCACATAAGGGCGTATCTCATATTTAACAATTTTACAGAGAATTTTAAAGATTGAAAGTTTTTAGCTAATTTAAATTATTTTTTCTACTACCTTACTAGAAAACTTAATTTTCTACCCCCGAACGAGGGAGGAAAATGCCTCTTTTCCTCCCCGCGAGGAAAAAAAATGTTCCTCCCTCTTTTTTTCTAACAATTTTACATTAGCAAGAGTTTTTGTACCTTGTCTAGCCCTATTTGATTTTGTAGGAAAAAGATTTACTCCGCGCTTGTCCAACCATTCTTTGAACAAACTATATTCATTTTGATATCGCTCTTTCGATTTTTAAGGAAGGAAATTAATTGCAACTATTCTTGCCTCTTTAGCAAGATCTTGCGGCAGGTCTTCTTCGCTAGAACTCATTTTTAAAACGTAGGAAGAATTTCAAATTTATGATAAACATTCTGACAGCTTATAAAAACTGTTATGTATTACCAAAAATACCATAGCAACAAAGCGTTGTCAACATAACGTCGGCGACGCAAAACCTACTTGATATTTTGTCATAATTTTATAGCCCCATACAGGGTTAGTAAAAGGAACCGGAACGCTTAAAAAGTCTTAAAACCGTAAAAAGGTAATAGAAAAAACTATATAAATACCTCAGAAGGAAAATGCGTTTCCTCCCTTGAATATTTAATGCCCTTCGCTTCGCGTCGAGCATCAAACTATTCGCGGGAGGAAAAGCACTATTTTCCTCCCATGGTATGTAAATAGCTATTTCTGGAAAAACAATTGCCACTAGTAATACATTAAATGTACTACCTTGTAGCACATAAATAATAATTTAAATTAGCTAAAAACATTAAATGATAATGGGGATGATATGAGGCAATGACCTAAGGGAAAAGTCGCCACTAAGTCACCATTTAAGAAATTACAAACCTAGTATAAAAACTACTTCACGGAAATTTTTTTGATTATCCTGAGAGGAACGAGATATAAGGTCCACTTACTCGAAAAATATCTTATTTATTATATTTCTTAGAATCATCAATCTTATAAAGTTTTTATAAGCTCGCTTATAAGGAAAATGAATTCTTATAAGTATTTTGTGAATCCTTATTGGTTATAAGAAAATTATCACCAGGTGACGTCACATAGATAGCTGCCCTCTGTTGGCGATCATTTCTTTGTTTTTCTGTATCTTTTGTTTCACATCTTAAATTGTGGTAATTTACTGTACCTACAAAGTGTCTCAGATTTAAAATTTATTAGTCAATAGCTTTAAACATACTTGTAAGTTTTCTTCTTATTTTTTCGAGTTCTATCGACTAGTATAATTTGATTTCAAATAAAGTATTCTGTTGAAACATAAATGTTTACGAATTGTATTTTTTATTTTTAGCAAAGAGACAACTACATTAGATCTGTAAAGCTATTGCCGGACGGTAGAACCTTAATAGTTGGGGGTGAGGCAAGCAATCTGTCAATATGGGACTTGGCGAGTCCGACGCCGCGAATCAAGGCCGAACTGACGTCGAGCGCGCCTGCCTGCTACGCGTTGGCGATCAGCCCCGACTCGAAGGTGTGCTTTAGCTGCTGCAGCGACGGCAACATCGCCGTGTGGGATCTGCACAACCAATCGCTCGTCAGGCAGTTCCAAGGCCACACGGATGGCGCGTCATGCATCGATATCTCCTCCGACGGCACGAAGCTGTGGACGGGTGGTTTGGATAACACAGTGCGTAGCTGGGATCTGCGCGAGGGCAAGCAGCTGCAACAGCACGACTTTAGCTCGCAGATATTCTCGTTGGGGTATTGTCCGACAGGAGAGTGGCTGGCTGTGGGCATGGAGAACTCTCACGTTGAAGTTTTGCACGCCTCCAAACCGGACAAATACCAGTTACATCTGCACGAAAGTTGTGTACTTAGTTTAAGATTCGCAACCTGCGGCAAGTGGTTCGTGTCCACTGGCAAAGATAATTTGCTTAACGCTTGGAGGACGCCGTATGGAGCCAGTATATTCCAGGTAAGTGGTCAAATAAAAGAAATTGTTTTTTTAGATTGAACTTATTTCTTCTTTTGTTTCAGTCCAAAGAATCATCAAGTGTACTAAGTTGTGACATTTCAACGGACGATAAATACATAGTGACAGGTTCGGGAGATAAGAAAGCGACAGTCTACGAAGTGATATACTAAATTTATTAATAATAATTTGATGAGCCAGTGCGTGAAGTGTTTTATTAATTATTTTCCGGGGCCAGCAAGACACACTTTTTTCGACAAAGATGGACTATAGTGTACCTTCAAATTCGGAAAACCATGTAGATTCAATTTCCTTACTTACCTACCTGCAGACTCAAGAGAGAAGCACAATGTTTAAATATTTTGTATCACATGACAATTATTTTATTAACAAACAGTGACCTACTTAATGTAAAATAAATTTCCAGTAGGTTTATTGATGTTCTTGACCAATTTCAGCTGGTTGTATTTATAGGTAAACAAAAAACAATACATAATTTATGTTTTTAAGCTAGAGATGAGAGTACACAGTGAATTTTGTAAATATGCAACAGAATTAATTAATGTAAAATCTATATATTTTAAACTACAACAATCTTCTATATTTTGTTCTAGGGCCTAACTAAAACCCAACAAACTCAGAATTTTGTTGTTTTGTTTATGGAAAACACTGCATTTGTTATTTGTTTACTCAGAAAATATTGTTACTATGTGTGTGAACTAGATGTCAAAAATGGCACAAAGTGATTTATTACTACTTAGACTTTCCATTTTTTTCTCGATGTTATTATTACGAAACAAAGAATTACGTAGCATATTTTTCGTAATTAAATAAAATTATATTACAATTTATTTATTGTGCCTTATTTCTTCTAATTGTGAACAGGGTATTTTTCTATCAAATAATATATTATATGAAAAAGTTGTAAGTATGTGATTTTGTTTCTAAAATAATAGTTCTTAGGTTATAAACAGTAATAAGTTTTGTTTAAAAAGTTTCTACCATAAAAATGTTTTTAATTGCATATTTTTAGACCAATAATTTTTTAACCAAATGTACGATTTTAAAATGGTAATAATATTTAATTAAAAAAAAAAGAACCGAACTGTCAACAATTTCATGCATAATTTAGTTATAAATTAGATCATATGTTTATTAAGGGACTGGTTTAACAGGGTGACGTTCATAATATCGAAATTCACTTTATCGAATTCAAAATATCGAACACTTTTTATCGAAAATCAAAATATCGAAAATACAAAATGTCGAAAATCAAAATATCGAAAATTAAAATGTCGAAAATGATAATATCGAAATTTTATTTAATCGAATTTTCAATTTATCGAAAATAAAATATCGACGTTCATAATATCGAAATTCACTTTATCGAATTCAAAATATCGAACACTTTTTATCGAAAATCAAAATATCGAAAATACAAAATGTCGAAAATTAAAATGTCGAAAATACAAAATGTCGAAATTTTATTTAATCGAATTTTCAATTTATCGAAAATAAAATATCGACTGCTTAAAATATCGATTATAATAATATGGACATATAAAATATCGAAATTACTGAATATTAAAAATTACAAAGTGACTAGAAGTACACCGGGAGTATCGCCATTAAACGTACACCGGGTGGAAAAAAATTCTTATTTAGCATATTTGTCAATTGTATAATATTAAATGGTCGTTCAATTTCGCGTTCAATGATCTACTTCCCTATTTTTCACAGAAAAAAAACAACACAAACCCAAACTCCATAATATGGAGTTTGGGTTTGTATATATATGGTAATCAACAAATTTTATTTTTGCTAACACAAAATATATAGCTGTAGAAGTAGGCTTTTTAACGGAACGCCATGACAATAAAAATAACTGTTGTTATTTAAATATTGTAAGTCAAAGTTTAATCAACGTTATGGACAAAAACGATATTCAATTCGTTTTAAATCAAAAAGGCAAAAAGCAAATCTACTTAAATGGTTTTTTTTTCACCCAAGAAAAAACTAAAGGCGAGACAAACTACTGGAGGTGCACCAACTACACAAATGGGTGCAAGGCTAGAATAATAAATAAAAATACAGATTACAATTTTAAGAATGATCACAATCATGAAGGTAATCCTAAAAAATTTGAATTTTTCAAAATAATCAACGAAATTAAATCTGATGCTACTACATCCCGTGATGCCCCCAGAGCCATCATCTCAAGGCAGTGTTCTGAAGCTGGTGAGGTTGTTTGTGCATCTCTACCAACCGTCAGTGGCTTAGGCCAATGTGTGCGCCGTACAAGACAACAAAAAAATAAAGGAATTAGTGTTCCAAGTACGATAGAGGAATTAAAAGTTCCTGAAGAATTAACGAAGACAAAAAAAGGTGAAAATTTTCTTTTATTCGATTCAAAAGATAAAAATAGGATACTTATATTCAGTACCAATAGTAATTTATCAATTTTAAATCAAAGTAGTGAATGGTACATTGATGGTACTTTCCAATGTGTTCCTTTGTTTTTTTACCAAATGTACACCATTCACGCAAAATTTAACGAAGAGTATTATCCCTTGGTACCTATATGCACTTTTGCCAAATAAAACTGAAAAAAGCTACATTACCACATTTGAGGTATTAAGAAAATCATTAACTTCACCAAAAGTAAAAACTATAATGTCCGATTTTGAAATAGCTGCCATAGCAGCCTCAAAGCTTTTGTTTCCACTGGCAACTAATAAAGGATTTCAAGCAAAGTATTTACAGAAAAGTTTGCTCCTCAGGACTAAAGAAACTGTATGACAGCGACGTAACATTTCAGTCGGAAATTAAAATACTGATCGCTATTGCTTTCGTACCCGTAAATCATGTGTATTATGCATTTGATTTTATTGCAAAAAACGGTATCATCCGACATGAAGGAAAAGTTATTCTGAATTACTTTGAAGATACATGGGTGGGCCGCCGCGAAAGGCTTAATGAAAGAAAGGAACCAAAATTTGAGCATCACCTATGGAATTTTTACGATATGACATTGACCGGTCAACAAAAAACCAATAATATAGTTGAATCGTGGCACAGAAGTATAAACCATCAATTTTCAGCTAAAAAACCATCTATATGGAAGTTTCTCGAAGGTATTCAAAATGAGCAGGGGCTGACTGAAATGAAAATATCTCAAAGGATGTGTGGCGTAACAATTTTAAAGCCAAAAAAGGCCGAAAGTCATTCAGAAAGGTTAAAGACGCTTGTAAGCAACTTTCAAGACAATTATCAAAATGAACCACATATTCTATTAAATTATTTAAAATCCATAGCTTTTATTCTATAAGTATTTATTTTTTGTTTAAATTTTTAATAAAGTTAATTTTTTATTTAGTACCTGGGGTTATTATTCTTACTTTTATTTTTACAATTAATGTGAAACTAAACCATATTTTCCCAGTCAACATTCGTGAATCCACAACTGATTCACATTCGGTTCACAGCCGTGAATTTTACCAAATGATGCAAATGTGAGTCCATGTGAAGTCCGCGTGAATTCAGAAGGGGTTCATACCCACTGAGCAAAATAACATTGCTGCAATGTTGACGCAATATTGCTTTGTAATCTGTAATGTTGCATCAAACCGTAAAGCAATATTGCTACAATGTTGTAGCAACCCTAATTCTTCCTTGCAGCAATATTGCAATGCAAGGTACGAATGATGCATAAATGTTGTTGATGCAATGTTGCCGCAATATTACCGTCGAAAAGTACGTGAACGGTTAAATTGCAATATTGTATCAATATAGCTTTTAAATCCATGTAGCAATATTACCTTAAAATATTAAAGGGAGGTTAAGAAGCAATATTTAAACAAATCTGAAATTTTCATTTTTTTTATTAAAACAAAATAAAAACATAATAAAAAAATAAAATATCACAATTATCTCAGTTCAATGAAAAAGAAAATAAACATTATAAAAAAATTAAATATCAAAATTATCAGTGTTATAATTATATCCTAATAATTAATATTAATTGAATCGATCAGAATAAGAACAGTACAAGTCCAAAAATTTTATTTTCACAACTCAATTTTTAAAATCAATTTAAAAGTTCAAAATGCATTTTTGTGAGAATATTTCAAATATTTTATAAAATATAATAATCAAATTTTGTAAAATGGTTTATATCTTCTCACAAAAATAAAATTTTTGGACTTGTACTGTTCTTATAAGAATATATTCTCACCGATTCAATTATTAACAAAAGTTCTCCAGAAATGGGAAACTTTTTTATTTTTAATTTTAGAAAAAAAGTTACGTCTTAATAAAAAGTTCTTTCTGAAAAAATAATATTAAATAGACTATTAAAACTTAAAATAGGATGTACAGGGTGTCATAAAGTAGGAACATTTATAATTGGCCCAAGTAAGTTCCCTTAATTTTTATTTTAGAAAAATGAAATAAGAAAATGTTGCTTAGAATTAAAAGTTATATCCAAGTTTTAATCGCCTCCTGTTAAAAAATTCTTGTAATTATAAAATAAATAATTACATTACATTTAAATATCGAACTTGGGCTTACAAACATGATATCATTTCTATTACACACTTTTTTTGTTAAGGTTAAGCCTCTGTTCTGCAGTATTTTATTAATTTTAGAAATATCAATAATTTTTTAACAGGAGGCTATGGATTTAAACTTATTTCATTTTGCTCCAATAAAAATTAAGGGTACTTCTCTCTTGTGCCAATTATAAATTTTCCTACTTTATGATTTCATGTTATTTTATGTTTTAATAGTGTAATAGCAGAACGTTTTATAAAGTAACTTTTTTTTGTAAAATTAATAACAAAAAAGTTTCCCATTTGTAGAACAAAATAAAATTTACATATATACGAAAAAAAATAACATAACAATCATAAATTTTGACACAATGCTGTCTCTTAAAAAAAACGCGGTACAAATTGGTAAACGCACAATCCACACAACAAGGTCTGTTCTATCTTGTACTTAAAATACTAAAAATTACTGCACAGACTTTAACGGCGGCCATTTTTGTTCTTTGGGCTTGTGCTAAAATGGTTTTTCTTAGCACTTTAAGCCTTAAGTTTAAGGCCTTTTTAAAGGCTTACAAGTGCCTCTGTAAGAAACACAACGTTTAAAACGATTAATAATCTGTATATATACAGAATATTAATCGTTTTAAACATTGTGTTTCTTACAGAGGCACTTGTAAGCCTTTAAAAAGGCCTTAAACTTAAGGCTTAAAGTGCTAAGAAAAACAGATTATATACATATATACAGATTATTAATCGTTTTAAACATTGTGTTTCTTACAGAGGCACTTGTAAGCCTTTAAAAAGGCCTTAAACTTAAGGCTTAAAGTGCTAAGAAAAACCATTTTAGCTTATGTAAAGAATAAACCTTATTCTATCAGAGCTGTCATCAAACTGTCAAATGTCAATTTTAAGGTTAATTTGTGAGTTATGGTAAATTAACCTTAAAATTGACATTTGACAGCCCTGATACAATAAGGTTTATTTTTTACAAAAGAGGAGTAATATGGTTTTTCTTAGAACTTTAAGGCTTCTTTTAAGGCTTACAAGTGCCTCTGTAAGAAACACAACGTTTAAAACAATTATTAATCTGTATAAACAGCACAAACCCAAAGAACAAAAATGGCCGCCGTTAAAGTCTGTGCAGTAATTTTTAGTATTTTAAGTACAAGATAGCCACTGCTTATGAGTGTTAAAATATACACATAAAACAAAATTTAATATATTACCTTTAATTGTTTCAATTATTGCTGTATATATATTCCAGTGCGACATTTCCTTTATGCCCTTTCCAGCTGAGAAAATGACCTAAACTATTAGCAAAAACTATTTTTAATATATTCTATATTTTTGTGCAGCGTATC